CCCTCAGCATGAACTAAAAAGAGCTTGACAAGTTTATAGAACTTTGCCTGAATTCGACCTCAGAACAGAAATCTCTGCTCTCTGGGGGTTCCTGCCCACTCCTTTAATTCTCCCGACACCTGAAAGCTGGAACCAGCCATGAAAAATTCACGCAGCAGTGTGTTTCAAACATAGCCATGAAGGATCCTCAACATCTGCTGACTTGAGCAAACCTTGATGGTTAATATGAAAAATTATGTTTGCGAAATGCTTTCTTCCGGAGAGGAAAATGTCTGCTCAGACGCTTCTGAGAACTAATCTTAACAAACCTGACAGAAGGATGTCAAAAGTGGTATTGCATCAACTGCATCAATAGGTGAAGCAGCACTATTTTCTCTACTTCTTCTCCAACAATGTAAGGAGTATTTCACTTTTAGTGCCACTGGAAGTGACCCAAACATCTTGAGCAATCATGGGAACTTTTCTTTATAACAGTCTGAAATTGAATTCTTTCCTTCTGTAAAATTTTGTTTTGAGACATGAAATTGAAAAACAAAATAGGCCTCAACCAGAGACAAACACATTCTGTTTAGCCTCATGTCAGCGCCTACCATTGCAGAATGAAGTGTCTTTTCATAGCAACAGGGGGAGCTGGGTGGAATATGGCACCCTACTATTTCAAATTAATTGCAGTGCAACCAAGCCAGAAAATTAATGTTTAGTCCCCAACTCCCTCTTTTTTTTTTTTTTTAAAAAAAGCATTGTCAATGCTCAAGGGAAAAATTTATCTTTGTTAAATGATAATTGGCTTTATTGTCTTTGACTCCTCAGAAATGCTGGCTGGCAAGGTTTTTAAAATATTCATCAATCTTGTTTTCTGTTTTTACAAAGCCTGCATTGAAAAAAAAAAAAAAAAAAAAAAAAAAAAAGATGTCAGTGCAGAACATTCTGCATCTCCCAGTATTATGAATAGGTCTAGAGACCACCTAATTTACTAATAAATCTATTGAAGCGACATGCATCTCAATATTTCACAGCTTAATAAGAAGGTCCAGAAGCAAGGCCCCAGATTGCAGTTCCAGATGATTAGCGCTGCAAAACCATTTGAAGCAGGAGTATCGAAGCTGTCAGAGCAGCTTACACACAGCCACCCTTTGCAAACTCACCATTTAAATCATCTGCTCGGGGACACTTGCTCAAATTCTTCAGAAAATACTTGGAAAAAGCTCTAAAATAGCAGTGCACACTGTTAAAAGTTTCTACGACTGGGGCAGCGGTGCTCACATCTATAGCACTGCATTGTAGCTAATAATAGGAAAATCTCAGCAGGGCTTTTCAAACTTCTTCTAAAGTGACACCAGAGTCTTGCTGCGTCATCTTGCAATAAAATAACAAGGACACTTGCTGCGTGCGTTGCAGCGAATAGCTCAGCCAGCTCCTTGCAGAAATAAAAAGCTCCCTATTAATTCTTTTTAAACACTTCTTGAGTTATTGACTTACATACCAGAAATCCTTGCAGTTCCAAAACCAAAAAAAAAAAAAAAGAAAGAAAAAAGAGCATCTTCATAGATTAGTGGCATAGACTAAAGAAAAGTGGGTTTTTTTTTTTTGAGGGAAAAATAGCAGGGGGAGAGTTAGGTTTGGGGCTGTTGTCATTGTTTCTTAAATTCTACACTACAACAACAACAAAAAGAAACCTTGGTGAAAAGTTTCTGAGAAGTTTATTTGATGGCCAGGACTATGGCCCTCGAGGAAGTAAGAGTTTCATGATGGCCTTACTTCAATGAATATTTCCACCTGTAAGTGCCCTGCCAACGCTGGTAAGACCAGACGTGTTGTACACTTCTGACAAGCCAAAGTCTTGAGAAAGGGATCCGACCATCTGTGCTGCAATGTCTAACTACAGAAGAATGGGCAAGAAAGAAAAGTGCTTAAAGAGTCAAGGACCATTTTAAGACATCAGCTAACTTACTGATGAATAGATGGAAGCAGGGAAGAACATTAAGGATTTCCCAGTCGTTTTTATTGTAAAGCAACCTGTGCTAATAAGAAAAAAGGCTGCAATGGATCAGTGATAGGTCAACTATCACGTCTTGTTAAGCTGGGAGGTTCTAGAAATAAAGTTGAAATCCTCTAAAGAAGAAAATTTACAGAATTTTCCACAGGGAGCAAATAATGCATTGGACTTGATTAAAAAAAACGGGTTTTGCTACTATGTAATAGTATTACTGTTACTATTATTGCTACCAAAGTCTAAGCTGTCAGACTTGCCTGGCATTGTTTTCTTATTTACAAAGGTGATGAGGACATGTGGTTAAGAAAAGTCAAGATTTTCAGTGGTATACAGTTCAACTGATTTTAAGAAATTTCTGACATTTCATTCTACAAGATACACCCCCAAGTGTGCTGGCTTCTGGATATCATTTTGATTTCACTGGATAGTTTGGTATATTTTCCAGACATTGTTCAAACTCCATTTACCTTCAGCCACAGTTCAAGGCTTTGAATGTGATCTGCAGTATAAAGCCTTGTAACTCATGCTCTGCTTACTTGAGGACTATCCCTTCATCCTAGAGCCAGCCTCATGTTTGGGAACAGAGCAGGACAACTTTGCTGTCAGACTGATTCTGTTGATGTGCTTTTCATGTAGGCTGGAGTCTAATTCCTTCCTTGAAGGACATTGGCATAACAAGCTGTGCATCTCTAACAGTGTTCTCTGTGGATGACTACCCAGGGAATTATCTATAGTTTTTTCCTTCTGCCCTCAATAAAAGTGGCAATGTGCGCCGAGTCATGTCGCAAGGTTGCACTCAATTAATATATGAATGTACTCACACAGAAATTGGATATTCCACTTTACACTTGATATAATGAAACTGTTCTGTTGTTGTTTGTGTTTTTTTTCACCCTTATTATTATTGATTATCTTAGACCTGTCCTAACAGAAAATGAAGTGCCATCAGTTTTAAAATCTGATAAACTTCAGACAGTTCAATGTAATGTCTTCCAGGCTCAGGCGTCTCTTTAAGAATCTGCTTCCAACTACTTGCTGAAATTATTTACTACTTTTCTAAAATATACCATCTTTCTGCAAGTGTTGCCCATATGCTCACCCAAGACCATAGTTTTGCCCAACTGTTTTGTTAATAGACAGAAATAGTTTATTCACTTCTATCTTTCTTTTCTTCCTTCCAAAGTTCATGATGACCATGTCAATCTAATTTTCTTTACAAACACCACAGTGTAAGAAAGGCCAAAGCCTTTCTTTAACTCACACAGCATTAAACATACAGCTTCAATGTATTAAATTCACTTCTCAGGTTTTAAATTGTCCTCTTTGGCTAAGATTCATTCTAACAAGTAAATCCATATTTGACATTCCATCTTGCCCCTTTCCTATTGTTCACATCCCAGATAGATTTAGCATTCATAGTATCCAGTCTGCAAGCATTTTGAAGTGTTTTCTTTTCCACATGCTGGTACTACCTTCTGCTTTGCATAGAACTTGTTACGCAAGCGTGATCACAGACTAATCCTAGCATTAATTAAGATATGAAATTAAAGTGGAAGTACATTATTGGTCACATAATAAAAACAATACAAATTTGCTTTAAAAATGAAATTACTGAAGTGTTTGCAAACCTCTTTATACTGTCAGAAATAATAATGTTTACCATCTACATGCCGTGGCACAGATAGAATTCACACAAGTGGATTTGCAGTATTATTTCCAGTTCGGGAGAATGTGCAAAACCCATGAGAAGTTCATTTACTGTATAAACATATCTGGAAGAAAACATGGGATTGTTTCTCCTGCTCTCTGTTACACCATGTAAATTCTGCCCTCAGTGACTCTGTGCACAATGCGCTGCTGGACCCACCAGCAGGGCTCCACTGCTTGCTTAAGAACAACTTTCCTTGAAATCTGATGAGGAATTTTATCAGAAAATAATATTATTTTAGAAATTGTTTCATAGGAACGTAACATTTTTATGAGCTTCTGACAAACATAAGAATACTATGAACACCAACGTGAGAGGCTTCCTTCCCAAAAACCCAGGCTCCCAAGTTTTGTTCCTCTAAAGAAGATAGCCACGTGGGCTGTCTCAAATCTCATAATTTCCCAGATCAAAAGGCATCTTATCATGCTAATTGGTCTGGAGCTGAGAATCCTACATCCTCTACAAGAATAAATGAAAAAAGCAGCCTGTCTATAACACTGCCAGCCTCATAGATGATTTAACCAATCACCTCTTCCTTATCTCTACAATCAAATAGAGGAACAAGCTCCCTACCTCACTGCCACCTTAAAAACACCTCTACTTAATACCCTCAAAAGGAAACAAATATTCCTACATTGTAAAAATATTGGTTTTACACAAACATTTACCAGATGCTTAACAAAATTTTACATCCGCACAGTTTCGTTGAATGTGCATGTTCACATACAGTGTGCAGAAACCTTTCTGACCCCATTGCCCTAATGCGTTTCCCTCCCCTTTGCTGTAAAGTCCACTTCTGGAATGCCTCTGTAATGGTAGGTGTTAATACAATTTGTGCAATGTAAAATAATAAGTTATAACAATGAAATGCATGTTCCCTGGGACTCCACGATAACTCCAGGTAAAAATAATGTCAGAGTCTGGGAACAGACTCATTAATAAAACTGCACTCAGAAGAGTGACTTGTTTACTTATGCACAATGGAAACCAATACGTTATCAAAGCCTGCATTAAAAAGAAATTACGATCCCAACTTCACAATAAACAGCAAAGAACATCATCACATACCTGCCTGGCACAATATAACCCCCCAGACAAAAGGCTCCGAGGCTGATTTTGCTCAGGCTCACGCTCCCTGAGGTCTCTCTGATCACCCAAGCTGTTCCAAACCAAGCAGGAGAAGAAGATCTCCTTCAAGGACTGAATCCTTTCTTAGAAAGGCTCTATTAGGGCAGAGCTTTGTGAACTCCTCCTGTAACCTCAGCACCACGGCACGTCTCCGTGTATTTGTCTACTTACTCGCTATGCTGAGATGAATAAGTGGGCTTGTCTTGTTCTCGCCATTCTTTTCATTGACAGCCTGGACATAGTAGCCTCCTGCATCCACCACTGACGTTGCAAGGATCACCAGCTGATTCTCCAGCGTTATGGCTCTGTTTGGGAAAGTAAGAGACCGTGCTGAAACCAGAAGAATGGCATTCACTGTGCAGAAACTGTACAGTATTTCAGACTTGACAGAATCACATGATACTCGTTGGCAAGATGTTAGGAGATCCAAAATAACCTCATTTCAAACACATTCACTACGCTTTAGATATGCAATGCTTTGAGGCTTTTTCTCAGTTTAGATCACGTAAAATGTTTATGGTGACATTCAAAAAGCTACAACATCTAAAATGCAAACAGTTTAAATGCCTTTAAGAAGTTACACATAAAATGGCAAACAAAAGCAGAGGCAGACAGCCTCACCCCGCATGGATGTGGGCTGACAGTCCCAGCACACACCAGCATGATGCTGGCGCTATTGGGAACCTCCTCAACAGGTGAAGCTATTTAAAGGCTGACACTCAGGAATGAGGTGGCCAGCCAACACTGAGCTTCCCTGCCTGTCTTCCTTCTGCTTCAGCAAGGTATTTTTAATGTTAATAAGTCAAAATTATTTGGCCTTGAAAAAGTGTTTTAAAGCATAGTATACTGATGTTCACATACAGGAGCTGGTATAGGATATAACAATGAGAAAAGTGTCCATGCACTGTGTTTGTTGCTCCTATCTCTTCGATTTCCTAATGTGGATACAAAGAACAGTGAACTTCTATAAGTCAGTAGACACCGACTGAAAAAGATCTGAAGATGTGAGGCTGTATTTTCAGCTCTGGTGGTGGTATTGAAGTCAGTCACTGCACACCAGCTGAAGATCTTGTTTGTAGTATCTTTACTGATGATGATTTTTATTATACTAAACTGTAAGAAATATCTCAGTACAATTTCTTTTCTTTATTCAATGAACCTGTAATTGCTTAATTGACTTAGAAAATCAAAGGCAGTGTGATAGATTTACGGAGTGGGGATATAAAATGCAATTAATATGACATTTGATAAAGCAAATAAAGATAAAAATCCAATGAAGTGCTAATAATTGAATATTAAAAGACAATGCAATTACATTAATTCTGAAGGATGCAGCGCTAGAAGAGTTCTTTGAAAATACTGAAACACATTTCAGACTGCTTTGGGAGAAGGTGCAGCTGAAGCTGAATGTTTTAAAGCTGATCTCCAAGTACAGGTGAGAAGCACACTGATACCACCCCTATCTGTGGGCAAAATAACATTTGTTGTGGGTGAAATGCATACACATTTCAAAGTTTACATGAGCCTAAGTAGATTTGAAATGAAAAACATCCATGCAGAAAGACCGAGCATAACTTCTCTATTCATTTACATAGAGAGAAATAATTAGAGGATAAAATAGTAGTAGAAGGCAATTCTTTGGGGTCGCCAGATTCCACAGAAAGAGTCAAAGGTGTTAGATTCAAAACCCCAACATGAGTTGTCGATAATTAAAAATTCTGAGAAAAGCCAAAGGTTTTGGTTTCAACTCCTAAAGACAGGCAAGGGTAAGGTACAGCTGTGCAGAGGCCAAAGACTTGGAGTTCTATTTAGATTGAGAGCTGTGCTCATCAGGAAAATCAATTAGTCACGTTTTAAGGACTCATTAATGCCAATGTTTCCAAACCATCTGAAGATTCATGTCACAGCCCTTATCAGGGTTGCAACCATATTTTGCACAACAGCTGCACAGAGCGCCCTAAAATTGGCTTCACGCATTCCCCTGGGTTCACTGTTTGTTTTCATTGTCTGTTATAACTTCTACGTTATGACAGCACCACACTGATGTTTGAAGGGAAATCACATCCCGGCTGCTCAGCTCACTGGCACGTTTGAGGAAGACAACAGAGCAGATGGAGAGGACCTCTCAGAAATTCATACCCAGTACAGATTTGATGAAATACACAAATATTGTTGGTCGTTGTTTTTTTTTAAGTGATATCAAACTTAATCTAGTGTTTTCAAGACAGAACTACTAGCAAGTAAAGGAAACAGACTGATCCCTTGGGGTTCTTTACACATAAGGAAGGGAGTGTTTTAAATCATATGTTTTGATAGAAGATGCTTTAACAGCCTCCAGAGCTCAGTGGAAGCCTGTGGGGAACAGGAGCCAATACATACACAGTGATGTGCAGTGTGTTGAGCAGCTATGGGGGTGCCATGCCAGTATTTCCATGCCAGTATGCCACAACAGCACCCACAGACTACAACGGATGGATCTCAAAGTGAAGGCTTCAAACCCTGCCCATGATGGACTGCTTGCCCAAATGTCCTGACACGATAGGTGGGAAAGCATAGGAATGATGGAGATCTGTAATGTTATCCATTCAGTTCTAAGGATCTGAAGACGTAAATAGAAACATCCTGAGTTTTTCAAGACTTCCATTTGCTGCAGCCAGAATTAAGCATTTAGAAATGCTCCAGGTTTTTTAATTGCAGACTTCTGAATTGCCCAGTACTTGGAAAAACTGTGGTGCAAATATCTCTGAAGTTTGATGGAAAGCTTTTGGAAATTACGTGAACATCAGGCTGAGCCTTTAGAAATAATGATCATTTTCTGAAGTGCCGTTGTTAAAGTGTTTAAGACAATATGTTTGCAGTTAAACTTTTCTTGCTCTGAAAATTGGATCATTTATGAAAATACCAAAAATGAACTCTGTAGTATCTTAAATAGGTGGATTTCATATTACAAACCATTATTAATGGAAAATATGAAAATCTACTCTCCAAGTAGATAATGCAGAGAAGTTGGAAATGCGTTCAGTGTTAGCCTACCAGATTACATAATAAATAGATAGCACTGCATTACAAAAACATCACCAAATGAAAATTGCACAGTGACCTGGTGAAGTTTTCTCTTAGAAGGCAGCCATCTGCTCCTGAGCAAGGGTGTAGTATTTTAGCAAATACAGCCTGCACAAGGCCTCTTTTCCTCTAGCTAAAACAAATATCAAATCCCTCATTACCAGATATTGTTTACAGAAAGACCTCTGCTGCCCTTATAAAACTTTTGCTCCCATAGCACAGCATGAGCCGATCTTTCTCCGGGAGGCAGAGCCCACCCAGCAGCAGTGATGTTAAGAAGCAAGGGAGAGATGATGGAGCACTGACACTGCAATTACTGAGACGTCCCCAATGGAAATGCCCTTTTGAAAAAAGGCAGAATGTTGCAGCTAAATCACAGCTGTGCAGTGAAACCCTGAGTCAGGGCAGTGCATGCATGGCTTAGCAGTGAGCATTTCCCCACTCGTATGTCTTCCAATTCTGAGGGGAAATTATTAATCGCAGTTATTTAAATATATGCAAACAGTGCATGTTTATCAGGTCTCAATCACAGCACAAAATATTAGCATGTCTGCTACAGAACATGTCCATAGCAACAAAGCAGTAAGAGCTGACTGAATGCCAAGCTTATAGAACAGTACTCAGGTTTCAGTTATATTATGACTGCAAATCATTAAAAATAAAAAAATATATACCTACTCAGCTGCTGAATATTAAGTACAGCCACAAAAATTAATGCATTCATTTTACCATCAATGTTAGTTTTTAGCATCACTTCTCTAACTAGACCATGCACAGCAAGCGGTTCTGGAAAGGGACTGGGATTTACTGGTTCCAAAAGCAAATTTGGATTAAACAAGAGCAACAAAGCAAGCATGGTGACCCAGCACAGCCTAAGTACCACCCTGCAATAACAGCAGCCCAGCTACTGACAGCAATGCACAAGGGTGACATCTTGATTTTGGTACATCTATTTCTAGGACGAAACAAGAGAGAAAGCAGGATTTCATGTTCTGAGCCTGCCTTCCCTGTTCTGTAGCACTGGTATTGGAGGTAAAAAGACCTTGGTTTAGGAAGGCTGCTGAGATTGTGCCCCACGTTGTGTCATGGGCACATTGTGCAAAGCCCATCCTGTGTACAGTGAGCAGAATGCTGGGTGAAGCCCTGCCAGACTGGGCACTGCCATCACAGGGAAACCTACAGGGCCTGTATCTGGCATGGCTTTGTTTCACATTTGCATCAGTACCTGTTGACTATACACAGACTTCACTTAACCACAGTCCCAAATGCTCTGGGACACATGGTTAGAATTCCAAAAAATGGACATGCATTGAAATCATGTCACAATATTGAAGTTTGCAATGCAATGTACAAGTTCAAAATATCGTATGTGAAAAGGACTAATTGAGTGCTGAGCTACGAGGCAGGATGATGGCTTTGATAGAAGCTTTAGGAATGCAAACAAAATAAAAAAATACCACACGAAAACAGATTGACCCCCTTGAAAAAAGAAACAATGAAAAACCAAAAGCTGACATCAAGCCCTGAACAGCAATCCTGAAAACACAGTATGCAGGAGAGGACTCAAGAAGCATAAATCTAGTCAACAGACACACTGTCATGTGTCTTAGTGTGTCTTGGTGCTTACATACAAGGCTGCTGCGAAGAAGTACCTCTGATTTAAGCAGAACTATCAAAATCTGAGTCTCGTAAAAATCTTAGCAGTTTGCCCTCGGAAAATCTTATTTCTATTCTTTGAGATGGAGGTTCCCAGAAGGGACTCTCAGATCAGTCGTCCCAAACTTATATTTAAAATCATGCCCATATCAAACAGTTACTGGTCTAGAGATAAAACAAAACAAAGCCCCAGATAATCACTACAAAACTGATCATGAAAGAGATGTTTGCAGAAAGACAATGCTACCAGCCCAGGAGCAAGCAATTACAACACCCAAACAAGGAGCAATATTCGTAAGTGCACTGCTTATCTTTAAACGTTCTTTTTCTCCCCGTAGATTTTCAACAGCTTTAATTCTTATTTAATACAACTTACTTATTATCATACTCTTTCGACAGTTTTTAAAAATTACTATTATTAAATGTTAAGTGGCAAGGCTTAGTGCAGCTGATAGATGTACCTACGTGTGCTTCAATCACAGCTCTTGGGTGTTGTTATCTTACTGAACCACGCTGATGAATGTTTGCCCCAGCTGCAACAGCAGTTCTCTAGCTAAAGCAAAACCCAACTTTCAAGATAAAATAT